TTCCTTCCTTCCTTCCTTCCTTCCTTCCTTCCTTCCTTCCTTCCTTCCTTCCTTTCTGTTTGATTGTATGTTTTTCGAGACAGGGTCTCTCTGTGTTGCTTTGGTGTCTGTCCTGGAACTCTCTCTGTAGACCAAACTGGCCTCAAACTCACAGAGGACTGCCTGCCTCTGCCTCCCGAGTGCTGGGGTTAAGGACATATGCCACCACACCCCATGAGTTTTTGTTTTTGTTTCCCTTGTGTGGGGTTTTGTTTTTTTTTTAATTTTGCTTTGTTTTGATTTGTTTGTTTGTATTGTATTTTGATGGGAATGCAAGCTCCTAAATTCTCTGGATCTTGCCTCGAACATCACTCAACTGGTAGTGTGTGTTCTCAGACTGGCAGAGGCTGTGAAGCTGGGAAATCTTCATACCATTATCCATCTTCTCCCCAGTTCAGAGGTCAAAGGTTCTCTTCAGCCCACATTCCAGGATGACATGATGTTTTGGTAGGGCCTTAGCGGCCATACCTTGCCACTTCTGCAAGGACAGGAGAGAGCATCAGTGAAGAATGGTATCTCCCACCCACAACTCATACCTAGCCTGGGGCAGACTATTCATTAAGGGGCAGGCAGGGAGGAGGCCAACCAAGATAACAGGGAGATCCATCAGGGTGCCAAGCTGACAGGTGCGCACACCTGCTCCAGCCAGGAGCTAAGGGCCAGTGGGAACCAGCCTCATAGGAGAGGATATTGTCTGGAAAGAAAAAGGGGGCGGGAGTGGGGGGGAGGCAAGTGAGATCAGATCACTCAATTATACGGCTCTAAATCACCGAGAAGAACCTTGGCTCAAACATCCAAGTGGTGAAGGATGGATCTTTACTTTGACTCCTACTAATTTTCATTGATTTATGTGGCTTGAAGGCATTTATTTCCAGCTCGGAGGCAGCCTGGCTCCTGGGAAGGAGTTGCAGGGCTCCTTTAAAAAGCTCTTGCTGTGGAGAGGCAAGAGGCAGAGGTGAGCTGAGCAACTGTGTGCTGCTCAGCCTCGGCCACCATCTCAAAGCCAAGAGGGTCTGGTGGGAGCTGCTGGCCCTGCTGCAGCCTCCCCTTCCCACCCCCAGAACCCGCCTGTTTCTGGTCACAGCTCCTTGAGTTTAACACTCCTGACAACTTAGCACTCTGGTTTTTATGTGCGAGGCTGTAATACTTGGTGAGCTGTGAGATGAGGTGGGAGCATCTGCCACGGGCGCTTTCCTCCCAGCCCTGGTCCAAGATCCGGGCCAGTGACATGACAAAGTGAAGCCACCTCCCCTTCCCACTCTGGCTTCCCACCTATGGCCACTTGGCAGAATGTCCCTGCTTCGTTCCCCTCCCCACCCCCCAATCCCGGGGCTGCTAGACTCCAATAGCTGCTTGGCTTTTCAAAGGAGGCATTTTCGGTCCTCACATTCCAAACCATCTGCTCAGCTAAACATTCTGAAGAGCAGTTCTGAGTTTTTGCAGGACCACATTCCAGGGATGGCTGACCTTCAGGACAGGCCCTTCTTAAAGGCAGTAGGCTCCGTGGAAGCTTCTGACCAGTGATAGCGAGCTGAGAAGGAAGCTAATGGGTGACCCTCAGTGGGTCAGCTTTCCCGGGAAGCAGAAGCTGAAGGAAGCAGAGTCCATGCTTTAACAACTTCTCCTCTTCCTGGAGCTCATGACAAGTCACTTGGGCCCTCACGCTTCAAATTGCTCCAGGCCTGTGGTCCCTGAGACTTCCCTATCCCTTCCTCCAGCCCAGCATCAGGGCTGGAAATCTGTGGGTCCCTCTAGATACAGTTTTTGTTTGTTTGTTTGTTTGGCTTCATTCTTTCTCCCCTTGACCTTCTTTAGGACTAAAATAAGGTTTCATGTGCTATGATGGCACAAGACAGAAGGAAATGAAACAAATTCTTTTGAGGAGGGAAGTCTGAATATGTGTGGGAAATTTCTTAATAAAATTACTATGAGATGATGATTCTAAGATTGGTACAAGCCCAGCCTTCAAGTCCAAATTGGGTATCTGGAGCTTTAACATGCTCGTTCGGTTCTTTCAAAATAGCATCACCAGGTGTTGTGTCTCGTATCTGTAATCTCAGCGCTGGGGAGGCTGAGGCAGGAGGATTGCCACAAGTTAGCAGTTAGTATGGGCTATATATGAGTTCCAGGCCAGCATGGGTTATATATGAGTTCCAGGTCGGCATGGGCTCTAGAGTGAGCCTTGGTCTCAAGACACAATAAAATTAAATTAAAAATAAGTAATCAAAAATAGAGAACATCTTAAACATTTGGTATGCGGCTAGCCTAGACATAGAAAGATGAGACCAAAAACTTCTAGTCTCTTGAGGAGCATTCACTACAAATAAATAATCAGTTAGAATGGCAGATTAAACTCCTCTGAGTGACTCTCCCTTGAGGAGTCTGGGCCCACACTTGATCTGTCTTATTTTCTGTGACTCTTCTTTGGGGAGCTCACACCCACACACTCATGTTCTGGCCTGTCTTGTCTTCCTGTCTGGGTGTCTTTCTTTCTCCTTACCCTGGTGCTTAAGCTTCTATTAAAATGTCCTTATTAATCCCTAGTGCTGCTTCATTAAATAAATAGATAAACCCTTCTAATAAAGATATCCTAACACTCCACGGCTCAATAAGGTAGAAGTTAATTTCTTTCTCACGTACAGTCTCTGCATTCCAGGTAGACCGAGGCTCCCCTCCAAACTGTCATCTAAGGGCCCAGTTTCCTGTCCTTTCTTTTCCAGCATCCTCAAAAGTGAGGCTTTTATCTCCAAGTCCTAGAAAGGTCATCTTCTGGGTCTCGAGGAAAATAAAAAATATTAGCAAGACACTCTCATTCCTTAAGAGCCACATTGTTTCTGCTTACAAAATTTGTCAAGGAAGAACTTTCTCACATCACCACCCTTAACAGTAAAGAAGAAAGCAAGAATGGAGTTTTGGACAATGTCGTTACATAAATCTCTGTTTATGACCCAAACATCACCATGTAGAAGACCCTCATTTATACTAGGTTGTTAGTATAAAGTGGTGGGTGGGAAAGGCGGCTCAGCAGTTATGAGCACTGGTTGTTCCTGCAGAAGACTCTGGTCTGTTTCCCAACACCCACCCATACAGCAGCTCACGGCTGTCTGTGATTCCAGTTCCAGAGGATCTCACACCCTTTTCTGGCCTCTGTGAGCACCAGACAAGCATGCAGTACACAGACACATTTGCAAGCAAAACACTCATGCACATTAAAAAATAAATAAATAAAAATAAAACAGGAACCAGCAAGCATCAACCCATAGAGGACAAGATCACGTGATCCCTTCAAACAATGGAGCCTGCCTTTAAAAGAGCCTGCTTTGTTTATTTTTCTCCACAGGGTGCTCCAGGGGCAGTCAGCAGCAGGTGTTTGTGCAACGGCTTAGAAAATACTTTGTACTTAAGCAATGTCTTAGATTCATAAAGGACCATTTATACCTATTACCCAACCGGATGTCGAAAATGTTCCTTGTTAGAGAAACTGAGTCGCAGAGAGGTGGAGAATTTTGGATAAAGTCATATAATTCATTTAGCTGTGAGGGTGGGATCTAAACCCATCTTTCAAGGTCAAGCCCAATGCTGTTGACATAGCAAAACGCTGCCTATTGGTCCGTTCTGGAGACTGACTAATTGGACATCCCCTCAGTTATCAGGTATCACTGGTCACTGGGCTTGGCTCTTTCAGTCTCCTTGTGATTCAGATGCCTTTATTATAACATCAAGATCCATGTACACCGTAATAATTCTGGTTATTTCTGGCTGGCCCCCTGCTATGTGCCAGGCTCTAAGCTATGCACTTTGTGTGTATCTTAGGTGACCGAGTCCTTACACTGACCCACTAACACAGACATTATTATTCTTCGCCTGTCTGGCAAAGAAGGAAGCTGAGACCATTAGATTAGGTAACTTCCCAAATGCACAGCTGGATGAGCCAGGATATGAACTCCAGTCGACCTGCTACCTACACTCTCTCTGTTACCTTGATGGAGGGGGTCTGTTGCTTGGGTCTCAGGAAAGGACACCTAGGCAATGACTGGTTATCCCAAGCTGAAAGCAAGGACTAATCACTTAGCTTACACCAAACTCATCTTCTCTTAGATGTCCCAGAAATTGAATTTGTATAGAGTCTTGGCCATGACTCCCCCACCCCAACAAATATGTGTCCACTCTGCCCATAGATATTATGATGTCGTAAGTAGTAGGACCCTTAGAGTCTTCTTAATGTTCGATGAATATGTCCCTTTTACAGATAGGGAAACTGAGACACAGGCAAGGAAAATAACTGGCCAGTCATATTAGGGCGAATTCTGGGCAAGCCAATACATTCATTTGATTCTCCAGACTCCGGATTCTGCACTAAGAGCCTTCCACACCTACTTCCTGTCAGAGCATTCTTCCAGTGGGTAAACAGAGGGACAGATCAGCTGGCTCTCGGCCTCCCCAGCTAGAACTGACCCTTCTCCCAACTCCATTCCCACCTAGCTGGGTGAGCTTGCCAGGCAGGGCCAGCCTGTCCTGAGCTGCAAGATGTATTAATCAATTTGATGAGGATGTTAAAGCTTTCTCTTTGCAACTAATTATTGTCTGATTTATAGGCCTGGCCTTGGTTTGATAGAGCTCCCCTCATGACAGGGATGAATGCGGTACTGGCATGGACCCCTTCATCTCTTCCATTCCTCTCCCTTCCTCCCTCCTCCTCCCTCCCTCCCTCCCACATCTCCTGCTGCTGCTCTCGGTTCCCGCAGGAACACCCTAATGACACAATGACAAGCTGCTGCAGCATGGCTCCCTCTCCATTGCGTCTGCCTTTGACACTACCGTCCCCCCCGTCCCCTCTGACGTGGGCAGATGGGTACTGTGCCAGTGAAGCTCTGTGCCAGACCTCCTTCTGGAAACAAAGAATAATAAAACTATCTTGAGTTGACCCGGCGTCTTCCCTCATGAACGCTTAGAGAGCTGTTGAGATGAACAAACTGAACCAAAGATGGACAGAGGGCTTCAGGGAGGGCTCTTTCCTATCATTCTCAGAAGGGGAAACTGAGGCAGAGAGAGGATTTGTCTGCAGTTTCACACATAAAACAATAAGGGAATGTCGTGGAACCCATCTCCAGCACCTTCCTGTGGCCAAAGTCATCTTACTACTGTCTGGGGGAGACGCCTTCCTCCAGGTGTGTTTCCTTGTGTGAGGAGGGGTGACTCCACGGGAGAGTCCCCAGCATGCACTGCTTTCTCTCGGCAGCTAGTTATCCCCAAATTTTAGGCCTCATAGGAGAGACAGGAACAAATCCAAATTATTACACGCTTACCCTGCTTAAAGTTGAAGGGCATTACACAATCACTGGACAGCCAAGCATATCTGAAATCTCAGCACTGGGAGGTGGAGGCAAGGAGGATGAGGTTGTCTCCAGCCACATAGTAAGTTTGAGGCCAGCTGGAGATATGTAAGCCCCTGTTTTAAACAGCAATAGCAAAAGAAAACAATTGAAAACTCCTTACTCCACAGGCTCAGCAGGAAGCTCCCTATGCCAGTCTTAGGACTCAAGTGTGGTAAGGGCTCCTTGACCCAAACAGTGGTCTGGCAGTCTCCTAATCCCGCTGTTCCCGCTTAGACCTAGAAGCCATTGTGTTGTATTTCTGCATTCACCTCGGCAAAGCATTAGCCTAAACCTAAGTCAAGTACCGACATTAAACCTAGCCCGAACCCATCCTGAAGAGAGTTTCCCAGTCCTGACTTTGATGTCAGTCTGAACATGAACTTAATTCAAAATCCAAATACGACTGAATTCTAGACCCTATCCTACCCTTAATGTAAATATCAGCCTTAACCTTAATCTTTATTTCAATTCAGTGGTTCTCAGCCTCCCTTGGAATACCAGATGGAGAATAGAGATATTGTTGGTTCTTACATACAAGGAATCCTTCATCTCCCCCACTGAGTGCAGCTAGCCAACAGTTCTCAACCTTTTCTTCACTTTTCATGACATCAGGACCACGTGCAGCTTTGGTAAGAGGAAACCAAGTCAGTACGAAGTATAGAGAGGAACAACCCGCATGCCAAGTGCTCAGTAGCAAACTCTTCAAAGATTTATTTTACTTATTTTATGTGTTTGGGACGTGCCTACATGTGTGTATGTGCATCACATGCATGCCTGGTGCCCGTGAAGGCCAGAAGAGGGCGTTAGACCCCTGGAAGTGTTATAGACGGTCATGGGCTACCATGTGGGTGCTGGGAACCAAACGCACATCCTCTGGAAGAGCGGCCAATGCTCTTAACCTCAGAGCTGTCTCTCTAGCCCCAGAAAACACTTAAAACTCCAAGCTGTAAATGGTGAAGGAGGAAGGTGGATGGAGATAAGCAAGTGGGTAAGACCAGGTATAGAGTTAAGACTTGGAGGGTGAAACTTGGCGTCAGGGTGGAGAGCTGAAAATGGACGATTTGTGAAAGAGTCTAGCCTCCTTCCGTATTCCTGTACAGTTCTTCTATCTGGGAACACTATTTAGGTGGAACCTAGAGCCTTATATTGACAACCTTCTCAGTTTTTACAGAGGCTTAGGCACTGAAGGATCTGGAGGCGTGATTCAGTAGTTGAACACCACCCACTACACCCAGGACTCTGTGTTCAGTCTCTAGCACAAGAAGAAAACGCTGGGGAGAGAAGGAAGAGAGCAGCAGGGGAGGGGGAGAAGGAGAAAGAAAGAGGGAGGTGGGAGGAAGGGAAGAAAGGAGAGAAGAAGAAAGGCAAGGCGGTGGTGAATGATGAGCAGAAGGAATGCCGGGTAGCCCAGTCTAAAAAGGAGAGCATGGGGAGGGCTGGTTGAGAGATCACAGAGTCAGTGAATCTTGGAGTTCTAGAACATTGCACAGAATGGACACGATAGTCAAATATGGAGCCCTGGGCAAAGGTCAGAAATAGTTGTGGGGTTGGAGAGACGACTTACAGGTAAGAACACTCACCTCTCTTTCAGAGGACCACAGTCTGGCTCCCAACACCCACTCTGAGAAGCTCACAACTGCCTTTAACTCCAGCTCCTGAGGATCCAACATTCTCTTCTGGCCTCAGTGGATAATCCATGCACTCGCAGACACACTGTACACACATACACATAAATAAAAATAAAATAAATCTTTGGAGAGATGGCTCAGTGGTTAAGAGCCTGGTTTGGTTTCCAGCACCCACAGTGTGGCTAACAAGAAACCATAACTCCAGTTCCAGGGGATCCAAAGACTTGTTGCCTCTGCAGGCCCCAGGCATGCGTGGGATGCCCACATGCAGGCAAAACACTCATACACAAAATAAAAATTAAGAAGGCGGCTTTAATTTCATTTTCAATGCAGACTCTATTAAGTCAAAGCTCATGATTTCTCCATCTAGACGTCAAGAAGGCTGGGCCAGGGCTGGAGAGTTGGCTCAGAAGTTAAGACAACCGATTGCTCTTCCAGAGATCCTGAGTTCAATTCCCAGCACCCACATGGTGGCTCACAATCATCTGTAATGAGATCTGGCACCCTCTTCTGTATACATAATAAATAAATAAATCTAAAGAAGAAGAAGAAGAAGAAGAAGAAGAAGAAGAAGAAGAAGAAGAAGAAGAAGAAGAAGAAGAAGAAGAAGAAGAAGAAGGCTGGGCCAGAGCTCCATGTTGCCTCAACTTTGGTACTCTAGACTTCTTGTCCTCCCCTGTCAAACCACCACGTACATAGCTGTTTCTTCGTTTTTCCTCTCTGTGCCACCACCCCTTATGTTTTGGAAGTGGCCCTGGCCCTGCCCTAACCTCCAGATTCCAGAGCTGCCTGGCCAGGGGGGAGAATGCCAGGAGTCCCCCCACAACTGTGCATCAGCCCCACTCAGCTGCACCCCGCCCCGCAGCTGCTTAAAGGATGATGTCGATGTGGAAGATCCCAGTTGTATGAAATCCATAAAAGGCTCTTTCACAGTAAAATATTCCCTCAGCCACAAAACAGCGGTTTAGTAAACTCTCCAAAACGAAATAAAAACCCAAGAATAAATATTAGTGAAGACAAAAGCAGGGTGGAGGAAGTGATCCGAGAGAGGCTGGGATCTCTCATATTGTGAAATGCGTCGCCCTGCCAAATCCTCACCCGTTCCATTCATCCCAAGCCACACTCTGCCTCTTCCTCACATGGAAACTCGAGACACTGAGGGGATGATCATCTGCTCAGACTTTCTTCAGATGGGAAAAAAATAAAACCACAAACAGCTGCCTGTGAGCCAGACTCCAGCTCAGACCAGGAGTCTCGATGACCTCATGGGTATCCAAGCCAGACCTCGCCTCTCTAAGGCCAGCCAGGCTGCTAGCATTTCTACTAACCAACTGTGCAAGAGTCCTTGAGAAAAAAGGAGACTGCCTGTGATGCCTGAGTTACACGTGGAGGGGCGTAGAAAAATCTGCATCAGAGGCTGGGACAGAAGGCCTCTCCCCGAACCTCCACTCTACCCCTTCCAATGAAGCCCTTAAAAAAGAAGGCATTCCTAAATTAAAGACTTGTTACCTTCCACGTGGGTCCAAGTAGAAAAAGCCAGTGAATGCCTGTGGCGAATGGATGTGTCAGAACCTGTCCAAGGGAGTTTTACTGAAGGGTTCGAGAAAGCTGGCTGACATAAAGCGGCAGAGGACTAAAGGGTTCAAAATTTCTGTAGGGTCGGGACTGGAGAGGAAGCCTCAGAGCCATATAGAACAAACCTGCCACTTTGCAGAGGAGGGGGTGTCTTTCACAGACTTAACAGCAGAAATTAATTTAAAAAGCACATTTAATGTCTAAACATTGGTTTAATGTATTATTTATTTGTTTGCTTGCTTACCTATTTTTTTGTTTGTTTTTAAGACAGGGTCTCTCTATGTAACCTTGGCTGTCCTGGAAATTGCTTTATAGACCAGACTAGACTGGAACTCAGAGATCCACTTGGCCTCTGCCTCCTAGGTGCTGAGATTAAAGGTGTACACTACCATGCCTGTCTATTTATTTTGAGGACCTCATGTAGCCCAGGTTGGTCTCAAGCTCACGGTGTAGCCGAGGATGGCCTTGAACTCTTGATCTTCCTGCCTCTACTTCCAGATGCTGAGATTACAGCAGGTACCACTGTGCCCACCTAATGTGTCACTGCTGTATGGTTCTCTATACCCTAAAATCCTCAGCATGGGTTAAGGCTATCTCTTCTATCTGGTAAGATGTCTCCTAACAAGAGGCTGCCTTTGCCTAATATGTGGGCATTTGCGAGGCAAAGCCAAGGCCGTGTGCTGTCATATTCTATGAGCCCTCAAAACTTTATCAAAGACCTTGCTTGATGACAACTCTTAGATCACAGTTTCTGAATTACGGCATTGTTGATGCTGTCCGCTAGATAAGCCTTTGATACCAAGGTTACTCCGTGCATCCTACTTTGTTTATAAGGGATTTTAGCAACATTCCTGACCTCAAACCATAGTTACCTATGGCATCCTGATTGTGACGATTAAAATGCCTCCTCCGGAAGCACCAGGCAACACCTGCTGCCCGCAGGGTGGTTAGAAGGGAAAGGAAGGGGAGAGCCACTGGCTGAGGGGGAAGCAGGGGAAGCGACTCCCCAGTTTTTTATTGCCCTGTGGGAATGGAAGAGCTGTTGCTGGTAGAGAGGGTGACTATTCATCAGGTTGGGAGTTGATGAGTAACATGCTTGCACCCCTTGGGTCTCTCTGAATGGAAACAAGGAAGGTTCCGTATGAGTGAATTCCTGCCTTGAAGAAACTCTTCCTGCCAGATCACTGAGGTGATAAAGAGGAAGTAGAGGAGTATGAGGTCATGCCTCCTGAGAAGTTACTGGAAAGAGCAATTAATTCCCACTGTTCAGACAGGATCCGCTAGTACTATGAACTTGGGGTCAAGTACATAAAAGGTCCACTCTGGTTGGATCCTGACTGGCTAAAGAAGAGAAACCCAGAAACCAAGGGGTTTTTTTTGTTTTTTGTTTTTTTAATGTTGCACAGCATTTCAAAGATGAAACCAGGACTTGAACCAGCTAGGCACTGAACAAAGGGAAGACATGGGAAACACAGGGAACACATGGTCTAATCCACTGTCCTCTCTTACTGTAGGATCAGATAGACTAGAGAGAGGGAAGCAGTGTCTGTGGGCACCCCTGTCCTCGGGGAGAAAGTGAGGGGAGACTCTTCTTTGGGACAGACTATTTCCCAAGATGCTGTGGGGCTGCAGCCTTCCAGCCCACTATCTCCTTTCTCATTGTTGAGGGCCGATAAGCTATCAACTCCCACAACTGTCAGCTGAGGAAGTGGGAGCCAGGGGAGAGCCTGGGGCCGGCAGGAAAAGACTGGCAGAAAACCAAACAGAAAAAGCAAGGCATCCTGGGGATGAGCCTGCTGACTGAACTCCTATGAATTAGGAAGGAAGAAAAGGGAGACTCAAGGCAGGGAGACAACTGGAGAGAGAAAAACAGGAAAGACAGAGAAACCCACAAAACCACCAAAACAGAACATAGAGAACATAACATCCTCCCCTTTCTGTTAAACACCAAAAACAAAATCTCCCTATGGACTTACAGGTTCATCTCCTCTTCCTCCCCCAGTGGAAGCCAGGTGCCAGTCCTTCCCTTCTACCCTGCTTGAAACAGGGTCTTTTCTTTTTTTTCCCAATGAGTATGCCAAGCTAGCCGGGTATTTGCCCCTCCTGCCCTCACCCATCTCCCTGTGGGAGCACCAGGGTTGCAGACTCCCAGGCTACCACAACTTACTTTACTTGGGTTCTGGGGATTTGAACTCAGGTCCTTGCATTTGCACGGCAAGTACTTTACCCTCTGTGCCATCTCTCCAGCCCCAGATATGGGATTTTCGAGTGTGTTTTTGTTCTGTCTTAGCCTCCCAAGAGTTAATAATGCAAACCAAAATATTCTTAAAACGTATTTGTGATTAGATAAAGAATCAAATCTTCAAGAGTGATTTACTGTGTGTCTTCAGGAAAGTCGCTCAACCGTACTGAGCAGTGATGCCTCCCTCTTACTTAAAAGGAAAAAAAAAAATGCAGATATTACTCCAGCCAGCTCTAAGGAGAGGTCTCATTGTCTAGCTCACTGGAAGCGCTAAAGAGCTGTTCTTTCATCCGGAACTACCTGGGGAGAGATTTTCTTACCATGAGCCTTTACATCCTCATTCATTTGAATTGGCGTTCTGGGAACTGGGCAGGGAACAGGTATTTTTATCTTACTTTAATGGATAAGCAGTAGCGTAACTAGTAAAAAATGGATCTCTCCTTCCCTACACTCCTGAGAGAACCACAGGAAAGGCCGGGCCATTCTTTGAGCGGGATTCAGAGAAAGGGCTAGATTTTTGAGGACGGGGAACCCTGCTCTTTCAAGAGGGAAAGGATCCACAGATTAAGAGGAAGACCGCGGGAAAGGATCCACAGATTAAGAGGAAGACCGCTCGCGTCGAGCCAAAACTCGGGTCAAAATGCCCAAGCCCTGCTGGGCGGCGGCGCACACCTTTAATCCCAGCATTCGGGAGGCAGAGCCAGGCGGATCTCTGTGAGTTTGAGGTCAGCCTAGTCTGCAGATCCAGATCCAGGACAGGCACCAAAAAAAGAAGAAAAAGATGTCAAGCCCCTCCACAGTCCGATGGTGTCAAGCACTGGCAGCTGTAGTCTTAACAATAGAACAACCACCAAACACAAACAAGCAAAGGTTCATCCTAACCTTCTCATTAGGGAGGAACCCAATCAGGGATTAAAAATGGGTTTCAGGGTGTGGCAGAGGGTCTGCCTGGAAGGTACAAGGCCCTGGGTCCATGCCCAGCACTACAAGAGCTCCCAGCCTGGGATCTCAGGAAGGACCTGTGCCTCGTCTCCTACTCTGCTTCCTGGGCCTGGCTTCTCCTTCTTCCTCTGCATTCCCACTCAACTTGTGGGTGGCAACCGTTATTTATACCGTTCTCTCCAGCCCACATCCTCCAGGGGGCCGGCTCAGATTACACCTGCCCTTATGAATCTTTCCTTTACTTTGTTATTAGACCCCCAAATTTGTCGACAAGAACAAGATCCGCCA